CAGTCATGCATTGAGTTCTCTAATCTCCCCTTGTCTCCCTGTCTTTCCTGAGTTGCGCATGGCACAGGTAATATTTCAGAGAATATCACCTTGGAGGTCCTTCCCTAAAACTTGCAGCCTAGTTCTTTAAATTGATTCTTAAGGAGCCTCCACTTTCCATGTATTTTGTCATTGGTTCCAACATGAACCAGCCTCTCCCAAAAATTTTCCACCACATGCTTAACCCTGGCACCAGGGAGACAGCAAACCATTTGGTTGAGGTGATCCTGGCAACAAATTATTCTAACAGTCCTTCTGATCTAGAATCACCTACTACCACCAGCTGTCTAGGCCTTCCTGCACTACCCTCACTACCCCTTCCAGATGGTCTGACCTCCCGGCTGTTAGGGATAGCAGTGACATCCAGGGCTGCCACCCCTGAGCTTGCCACCCCCACATCTTCACCAAACTTGGCAAATCTTTTTGGGTGCTCAAATTCAGGGCCAGCCTTCCTTTTCTGTGAGCCCCTACCACGCCCTCTCGTTACAGTAACCCAACTTCCTACCCGATAATCCTAATTAGCCCCTCCGCCCTCCATATCAATCCCATTAGCTACCTGCTCAGAGAGCAGAAGACCCCTTTCAAGGTTGTCGTTATTGCCCAGTGTTGCAACTTGCTCCTCCAGATCTCTAGCGCGAGTTTCCAGAAGGGCAAGCTGCTCACATCTATCGCAGTGTTATCCATCCTGGAGCTGTTGCGCCATTGCTGCATACATGCGGCACACTGTGCACTGCACAAAACCTTCCACCCTGCTAGCACACATTATCCCAGTTACAATATTAATAGGAAATATCAGTTGTCACTTACAGGTTAGTAGACTCCTGTTATAATCTCCTGTTTTGCACTCTGGTTTTTTATCTCCACTTATCAAATGTCCACTTGGTCAAAGGTCTGCCAAGCAAAATACAGGCAAGCTCAAAATGAGCACGCTCAGAGTGAGCTCTACAGAAAGTTATATAGGACCTGTATCACCTGTGACCAATTAACCCCTCCCCTTAATTAGCAGACTGAAGGAAGACAAGGAAAGGAAGATAAAAAAAAAATGCTAATAAAAAGTGACAGAAAAGGGATTTAAAAAAGTAAAAGCTTTTAGCAAGACCCAAATAAGAAAATAAAACAAATACAAGCACCAGCAATCACCAGCAGTCAAAAGTAAAACTTTTTAAAATTTCCCACTGTTTTTAGCTATCAGCCAGCAAACAATTGCCATCTTGGCCCACATTCTTAAAAGCGATCTGCCATGGATTGCTTTTTTGAGAGCAATAGAGTGGTCTCCAGTTCAGGAGGCAATACTGTAACCTCCTGAATGTTTTTTTGGCTTTCTTTTTTCTTCTCTGTCAAGCAGCAGATCTGTTTGTAACTAACGTGCAGCAACCATGAATCACATGTTTGGTTCATAGTTGCCTTAGGGTCCCGTTGACTTCAATGGGTCAGTTTAACAGGCAATGCTGCCTATCAAAGTCAACAAGACAAGGATAACATCCAGAAAATGACAAGCAATTGTGACTTGTGATTTAAAGCAGAACATTAACCTGGCAAAGAAGAAGGCCAGATGGAAAGCAATGTTGTAAGCAAAGTCCCAGGATTGAAGCTCACCAAAGACCTCAAGAGGTGATAGTAGTGGAATTGGTAATGGATAATCTTTTCCCCAGGAGTGCCTTTTGTTTATTTTTGGATTCATCTCTACCTAGCCCTGGGTATATTCTTTCTTATATGCCATTTTTACTCAGTTTCAGAGTTACCTTTTTCTAAGTAAGATGCTTTGCTGCTCCTGTGGTCAAGAGGAACAACCCACAAACACCAGGACCTATTCTCCTTCTCTTCCAAAATGTTGACTTTGTGCCAAAAGATGTCGTCTTCTGTTTGACCACAGAGAGGATGAGGGAAACATTTTACTCTTTTAACATTTTCAAATGTATGGTAAATATATTCTTGAACAACTTAGCTCTGTTAACATACTTTTTTTCATTGGGTAAGAGTATCCTGTAAAACATGTGAAAAGGGGCCTGTATGGAGTTTGCATGTTCTCCCTATGCTTGCAAGAGTTTCCTATTGGTAATCTGGTTTTCTTCCACGCTCCAAGGACATGCTTGTAGGTTAATTGGCTCCTGTGAAAACTGTATGTGTGTGTATGAATGTATTGCTACCCCCCACTGGGGCTTATGGTTTTAACTGGTTCTCACCAAACAGTACAGAGACCATCAGCCACTCAAGCAAATGTCAATTCACTCCAGCTCCAATAAACAGTCTAGGGGTTGTCTTTTTGTGATTTATTGCTGATAGAACTTGTAACAGAGAGCGAATCGTGCATGAGATACTTCAAATAGAACAGCATATGGCAATTAAAGGACAGTCTTTTCCTTAAGAGTTTGTGGGTGTTGGACAGTCTAGGGCCTCACAACTGGGGGCCATGGGATAAGTCTCTTTGGCATCTGGTTACCCTGCACCACTGTACAACTATTAGTACCCAGTGCAATCTCGGAAACACTGCACAATACACTCTATTCTAAGCTCACAGTCTAGGACACTGCTGAGGATGGGGAATGACCAGTATCTGAGATGCCCTAAGAGGGCAGTCTGAGTCATTACTAACAAGTTCCCAGGACAGATACTACCTTCCAGCCTCCTCTGGCCATGATCCAGTGAGAGAGACAGTTCTTCTCTAGACCATATTCCTTTGGTGAAGTCCTGTACTCCATTCCAGATCACTTCCAGGTTCCAGATCTGCCACTGAGACCTCACAGAACAGCAACACAGTCCATAGGATGCCTCAGGGCAATAGCCCCCTAAAGCTTGGAACGCTCCTTCCAAGAGAAAGACCCTCTCTCCAGAGCTCCAGACTACTTTTTAGCTTCCCAGCCACCATCAGGGCACATCTCTGCAGAGATTGGCTAGGACCAGATCAATATTCAGGCCGGTTATTTGAATCCTCTCTCCCTAAGTTCCAGAAACTTCTTCTAGAGGCAGGGGGAAGCAATCAAATTCCCATCCTGGGAAGCTTTGAGCAGAGTAGACCAAACAATCACTGATCCCTTAATTCCAGAATGAGCCAAAAACTAAATTGACCTAGAATCCTACATTAGGAGGGTGCTACATGAATGTGAGTTAAGGACCTTAAATTGTAAGCTCCTAGAGGGCAGGGACCGATGTAAATGTACAATGTATTTGTAACTTGGTGACACTATATAAATAACTATAATAAATATATAAAAAATAAGCAAAAAAAACGTCAACCTGTGGTTGGATTTGAAAATACAAAATATTGATATGTAATCATTCAGATTTAGCCCTGAAAAAAAGAAATATGTACAAATCCTTCATTCTGTTTGTTATTTTATTCCTGTATATAGCAACAACACATTCCACAGGGCTTTTCGCAGAAGACTTACATAAGTCTTTTCCCCCAGACGAACTAATATTCTAGCGGTTAATAATGAACAAATCAATCAAAGCAAATTAGGCAAATTGAAAATGTTTTCATTCTGTTAATATATGCGTGATGGCTTGTCCAGGCTGTTGAGAATTGTACAACTTATGAATCATGTTTGTCTTGTGTGAGTCTCTAACTGAGCTACATGAAAACTTTTATATCTTTTATATTTGCATGCACCAGATTCTTCTGATCCATCACTACTACATGACCATACCGCAGTCATGTGATCTCTTGCTTAAAGCCACAGACACACAGATATACTTAGGTCTCATGCACCCTGGATGTTTTTACAGCGGCTGTTTTTGGTTTCTGGCATTTTTTTCTACAGCCAGTAAACTCCCCAGCATGTTATCCTTTGTGTCCATGCACACATAGGCTTTAACCAGCGTTTTTTGGCTGGAGCGTTTTCTGGCTGGAAAAAAACCCTGAACTAGTGAGTTTCTAGAGGAGTTTTTTAGCTGTAAAAATGCTCTGACGTTGATAAAATCTGATACACACCAATAAAAGCCAAAAAAAAACACAAAAAAAGCGACTATCTGGCATTTATGAGCATTTTTGAGCCTGAAGATTTTGTGGGAGTATAAAAAAACACAAAAACTAAAAAACATGAAAAAATACTGAAAAAAGCTAATGAAAAAACGTGAAAAAACCTCACATTTTTATTGCAGCATTTTACAGCTAACGCTACTGGCATTTGTATAACGTCCAATGTGCATGAGGCCTTAAACTAGGACAGTTTTGGAAGTTACAAGTTGTACTACCCAAAAGCAAACATTTATTATATTGCAGCTTACTGGTTCTTAGATGTAATGGCTGCACTTGTTTTCTTTTTACAGTTTTCTTTCTTTTATTTTCGCTTTGAAATCCTTCCAGTAAGTCTATTGTTTTTCAACCGAAAAAGCAATGCTGCAGATGTAGCAGTTCGAGGGTTGAGACAAGCCACCACTGACAGGGGTGCTTACAATGATCAGTTTTATTTCTTTGTTTATGTAAAACCTTTATCCCCAAAGTAACTGTTTAAAAAGTGTTAGCTGGAGTTTGACTTCAATTTGTTAGTGTATATAATTCTGCTAGTACATCTATCACTCCCCTCTCCCAAATTGACAATTGTACTCTCTAAAGGTGTCCCTGTGCTCCTTCATCCAAAGTGGGGTCCGCTAATACAGGAAGTGTATTTCTGACCAGATCATCAGCTAATAACAGAGGGAAAAAGCCAGAAAAAAGAAAACTAATGCAGCCACCATATCTAAGGATTGGTAAGTTGGAATATATAAAATTTTTTGGTTTTGCATTTTATACCACTTTAACCGCCTCCCACCTACTATATAAGGAAATGACGGGCGCAAGGCGGTTCTCTCGTTCTGGAAAAACGTCATATGACGTCCTACCACTCTAACCGGGGGGAGAGCAGCGCGGCGATCGGTGATGTGCTGTGTCCCTGGGAAAGAGCCGATGACTTTGACTCTGTCATGTGATCAGCTGTGTCCAATCACAGCTGATCGCATGTAAATAAGGAAATGCTGGTTATCTGCATTTCTCTCCTCACGGAGGAGAGCCGATTATCAGCATTATCAGCATTCCTTAGAGGGGACATCTACACTGGTGCCCTGATGATCAGTGTAGCCCCATCAATGCCACCTGTCAGTGCCCATCAGTGCACATCAATGCCACATATCAGTGCCCATCTGAGCTGCCTTTCAGTGGCAACTATCAGTGCCACCTATCAGTGCCATCTATGAGTGCTGCCAATCAGTGCCACCTATCAGTGCCAGTCAGTGTTGTCTATCAGTGCCGCCCATTAGTGCTCGTCAGTGCCACCTAACAGTTTCAGTCAGTGCCACATAACAGTGCCAGTCAGTGCCGCCTATCAGTGCCAGTCAGTGCTGCCTATCAGTGTCAGTCAGTGCTGCCTATCAGTGCTGCCTATCAGTGCCATATATGAGTACTGCCTTTCAGTGCCCATCAGTGATGCCTGTCAATGCCTATCAGTGCCTCCTCATCAGTGGCCATCAATGCCCACCGGTGCCACCTATCAGTGCCCATCAGTGCAGCCTATCAGTGGCCATCACTTCAGCCTCATTAGCGCACATCAGTGAAGGAGAAAAATTACTGATTTACAAAATGTTATAACAGAAACTAAAAAAAAAAACAAAAAAAAAAACATTTTCACTTGTATTTGGCTTGTTTATAAAAAAAAAAAAGCCCAGTGGTGATTAAATACCACCAAAAGAAAGCTCTGTCTCAAAAAAATGATAAAAAAAGTTATATGGGTACAGTGTTGCATGACCGCGCAATTGTCGTTCAAATTGAGACAGCGTTGAAAGCTGAAAATTGGCCTGGGCAGGAAGGGGGTAAAAGTGCCCGGTAGGCAAGTAATTAAGGATGAAAATCAGAATACTAAGAATAAAGTCACACAAGCATGAGAAGATCATACATGCTCCATATTTCCATTCTTCCCTTTGAACCCCCTTGATAACCATCATGCACTGTGCACTTTGGTCTTTTATGCATTAAGACCCAACTCTGGGGACATTTAAAGTATCCCATGCAGTGGGGCTGCACCCTCATTGCAAAGGTTAATAGCTTGTTTTGTCTCAGGGATAGGAGAAATGTGCCTGATCCTCGGCTCCTCTGGCAGATTTTGTTCCCTCATGTTCTGACAGTGGACTCTCACTTGGCATCATCATGTCCAATGCAGGGATATGGACCCCGCTTTGCTCTTGATGATGACAGGACCCTAGATCACTAGAGTGTGAGGGAGAAGACGCTGCAGGACCAGTCTAGCTGCATGGAGGAACTGAGGATCAGATAAGTAAACCTTTTCTTGTTCTCCATTTAAAAAGAGCAAATAACCCTTTCGGTGCACAGCTCCACTCCAGGGGATAAGGTTGTAGTAGCCCTTTGGTCTTTAAGCTGGCTATACATTATTTTCTAATCTTCAGTGGGGTCAAATTGCTGTTTGTTTTCAATGACAGTGACAAGAAAATTCGAAGGAGCAGGATGGAAAATTTTTCTCAAACAGTTACTGTGGTTTTTATTCGGGAAACTCCATTTATCCCAAAATCAAATGAAATTTCAAAGTACTTTTGAAGGACAGATGTGAAGCCATCAAATGTACTGAGAGTTTTCCTACGAATGATCAGCCTGTCAGGTTTTTTTCATATGATCACTGCTGGCAGCTATAGCCGGCAGCAGTGATCATTGTATTCTGATGGTGGGGAAACCTCCTACTGTCAGAATACAATAGCGCAGCGGCAGGGATTCCCTCACACACCAACACTGACTATGTTGATGGGGGAATCGAGTGATTTTCTTTCCTTCAACCCTTTGGCTGAAGGAAAGAAAATTGCATAAATCTATGGCCAGCCTTAGTCTTGCTCGGAAGGAGGGCTGTCTATGCTTGTCCGAGTTCAGGCTCATATTGAGAATCCATAGAAATCATAGAATCACAGAAAATTGTTTCATTTTTTTAGAGCAGGGGTCTCCAAACTGTGGTCCATGGGCAGGATGCGGCCCTTGGCTTGACTTTATCCGGCCCTTGGAGCACTCCACTGATACGAGGTACTATCCCTCCCACTGACACCAAAGACAGGGCACTATTCCTCCCACTGACACCAGTGATTGGGGCACTATTCTTCCCACTGACACCAATGATGGGGCACTATTCTTCCCACTGACACCAATGATGGGGCACTATTCCTCCCACTGACACTAATGATGGGGCACGATTCCTCTCACTGACACCAGTGATTGGGGTACTATTATTCCCACTGACACCAATGATGGGGCACTATTCCTCCCACTGACACCAATGATGGGGCACGATTCCTCCCACTGACATCAACGATGGGGCACGATTCCTCCCACTGACACCAACAATGGGGCACTATTCCTCACACTGACACCAATGATTGGGGCACTATTCCTCCCACTGACACCAATGATTGGGGCACTATTGGCACTATATAAATATTGTATTATAATAATAATAATTCCTCCCACTGACACCAATTATGGGGTACTATTCCTTCAACTGATACCAGTAATGGGGTACTATTCCTCCAGTGACACCAACAATGGGGCACTATTCCTCCTATTGACACCAGTTATGGGGCACGATTCCTTCCACTGACAGTTATGGGGCACTATTCCCCCTACTGACACCAATGATGGGACACTATTCCTCCCACTGGCACCAATGATTGGGCACTATTCCTCCCACTGACACCAATTATGGGGTATTATTCCTCCCACTGACACCAATTATGGGATACTATTCCTCCCCCTGACACCGATTTTTTTTTTTTACTCCCATTTAGTAAACCAAGCCCATGGCATTTTCTACTCCTATTGTCCTATTGTCAGTCCATAAAGACTGAAGGGCAGTAAACTGGCCCTTTGTTTCAAAAGTTTGGTGACCCCTGCTTTAGAGAAAAGTACCCTTTTGGAAAATAGATACAGAAGCAGAGAAGGGCTGTATATGAAAGGATAAACACACTCTATAGATAGGGTTCTTTATTCTTTAGAAAATAAGATTTATATTTGTACGATTGGTGTTTCTTTGAGATGAGTGTTTGTAGAATTATACCATCTTCATTGTTATCAGTGGTAAAATACTGATATTCAGATGTGTTTTGAATTGCTGTGGGGGATATTCTCCTGCTATACTAGCTGTTTAACTTTTCACTTTTCAGATATTTGTGTTTATGCTGACTTTATATAAATATTAAACCTCCAGTTTATAGCATAGTGCCAGATTTTTTTCCCTGTATTTTTTTTATAAATCTCCTGCCAACGCATAATTTGGAGTTGTGTTCATGGAAAAAAACAAACTAGGAAGTATAAAGGGAAAAACACAAGAGTACAAAGCTTCAGAAACCACAGTCTACCAGATGGTTGTTTTATCAGCCTTTCCATGGTCTATTATGGAGGAATATTTTACTATGTTAGGTGGTGCTGCTGTCAATCTTACCACAAACAAGAAAATGTTGAAACTGTACAATACAAGAAACAATACACATTTTCAATGCCTTACAGCAGATCTATATAGTAATTGATATAGTTTGCTAAATCTCTGTGTATCATAAACAACTTCCATGCTCCATTCTTTTTTTCATAAAATATTATTTTCAGCATTTTTCATTCTTTTTTTTTCTTATTGCTGCTGTTCTCCTTCTGCTGTTGGCTCCTTTTAGCCAGTTATCGATGTAAAGGGGGGCCTCTGTGGACCCTGATGTAAAGAAAAACTCTGTGGACCCTGATGTAAAAGAAAACTCTGTGGACCCTGATGTAAAGGAAGACTCTGTGGACCCTGATGTAAAGGAGAACTCTGTGGACCCTGATGTAAAGGAAAACTCTGTGGACCCTGATGTAAAGGAAAACTCTGTGGACCCTGATGTAAAGGAAAACTCTGTGGACCCTGATGTAAAGGAAAACTCTGTGGACCCTGATGTAAAGGAAAACTCTGTGGACCCTGATGTAAAGGGTAACTCTGCGGACCCTGATGTAAAGGAAACCTGTGTAGATCCTGATGTGAAGGGGAACTTGTGGGCACTTATGTATGGGGGAGGGCTGCACTCCCTGATGAAAAGGGGAACTTTATCTCAGAGTCCATAAAGTGCCCTTGCACTGTAAGGGTGAACTCTGCTGGCTCTGATTTAAGGGGGAATGCTGGGAACTCTGACTTGGGGGGAGCTCTGGTGATCAGAGACCCCTTATATCAAATTTACCCTTTACACTAGAGTCTGCAGAGTGAATACACTAGGCTACAGGGGTTGACTGATGTAAGATGGGATTGAGGACACTGATATGAGGCACCTTTATTTCAGTGTCCCCAATTACCTTAGGGTCTCCACTCCCCCTTACATCAGTGACCCCCCACAGAGTGATTGCCCCACAGACTGTGTGTAGCCTGGTGTCACACACTGACCTCCTGTAAGTCTTTTGGTTCTCCTTTCCACCTGTGCCCCCTCTTTGCAGTCTTTTTCAAAGTCACTTGACCAGATGTCTGAGCCCATCCAGTCCAGCCGAGACCAAGCCGAGCCCAGCTGATTACTAATCAGCTGACTTCAGAACTGAGCATGTGCAGTATTGGAGCCGGCCGATTAGCTCTGCTCATGCGGAGGGGGGCGGTCGGCTGGTTTAGGTGAATTTGTAAGTGACTACAAGGGGGGGGGGAGGCCTGGGGACCCACAGTGGCAGAACACCAGGCCCCAGTCACAAGCGCGACCTTTGCGACCCTGGTAATTCCGCTACTAAGAACTAAGGAACAAACTATAATGCAAAGCCTTTACCTTGGAACAGCTGATTCACAAGAGCCATTAATTTGAAGGAATGGATAAACTAGTTCAAAGGAATGGATAAACTAGAGGGCTCACAGCAGCCATATTGCCAGTATGTTTTGGACCTGTTAGGGAGAGCTGATATTTTGTTGTTGCTAGAGATTCTGTTATTTTTCTTTGTTTTAATTTTGGCTTTGTTGCATGATCTCTCCTTACCCCTCTCCATTGGCAGTGCCTAGCTTTTGGTGTCCAGTGCACAATATGTTGCTTGTTAGCCCTGCAAATGTACAGAACTGAATAAGTGAAGATTTGCCTCCTAAAGACTTCAGTGGAATTCACTGCAAAGTTAAAGTCTGAGCAAGATTCTCCAAACTGTTTGCGACCTGAACCCAGGCTATCATGCCATTTGATTTTAGAATTTTATTGGTGAGTAATGTTTGTAAAAGTTGAATGGGGGACAATAATGAACTTATTTTTTGCTCAGTGATGC